GAGCTACGGAGAGGGCTATGCTCGGAGTTTCTCTGCGTGATAGACTCAGAAATGAGGATATCCGCAATAAAATCAGAGTGATCGATATAGCCCAACGGATTAGTAAGCTGAAGTGGCAATGGGCAGGCCATATAGCTCGAAGAACCGATAACCGATGGGGAAGAAAGGTTCTCGAGTGGCAGCCTCGTACCGGTAGGCGTAGTGTAGGGCGACCCCCCACTAGATGGAGTGACGACCTGGTAAGACATGCAGGAAGTCGATGGATGCAGGTGGCTCAGGACCGTGCTTTGTGGCATTGCTTGAGGGAGGCCTACGTTCATCAGTGGACTTGTGAAGGGCTGTAATGATGATGATGATGATGATTGTTAATTTAACATTCTTGAACCAAGTGACTTTGCCACTGCTAACTTTTGATTTAGATCTGCATGGGCCTCGGTTGCAGACAAATCAGCCCACCGTTCTATTAGTGGAGTATTCTACACACATACTCTTTTTATGGTAGCTACATATTTTTGTTGCTGGGATCATGCCTTTTTCCTCAGCAAAAGCAATAGCTTGTTCCCGTGTGCCAAGTTTTCGGTATACAGTAACTAAATTCCACATTGATTTCATCTCCTCGACATATAAATGGCGTTTCACTGGCGGTTCGTCACTGTCAAAACCGCGACTCGTAGATGGTTGAGGTTCCTCCGAATCAGACATTTTCAATGTTACACGCGTAGCGTCCAGTGTAGAAAAGCAAGTAAGTTGTGTAAACAAGCAATCGAAATCCAAATGCGCGCACAAGGTCAATCGAGTGGGCAGAAAATCGGTGTCCGGGGTAGAAAAGTAGATAATTCGTTGTGTAGGCAAGCAATAGGTATCCAAAAAAGAGAAAACAGTCGTCGATAAAAGCTACAATAATACACCGGAGAACACACATTCACGCAAGAAAAGCAAACAAGGGCGGAAATGACGGGATGCATTAACTTTTTTTTGTAACCGGTATCCAACTTTTACAGTAATATCGTATAATTTTATCTCAGAAAGGCTAGAACCCAGAGACGTAAAGTCAGTTTTAATAATAAAAATGTATCATTTTTCATACTTTACGCATTTTAGGTTATAATAGTTTTTATTTATTTTTTCGATAACGGTGCATTACCTTTTAATGTGAGTAGTATAATTATAATCGGGGAACAAACCTCTACCAAATAAAATACCTTACTCCCCCAAATTCCTGCCAACGATTCTAAATCCAACCCCAAAAATTTTATTAGGGTTGACACTATTGAAAACAAAACAAGGAAACATGTACCTAGGTATAATAAATAAAAATTATATATATGTAATAAAATGTAAATATATAGGTAAACTTAATAAAATAAATAAATGTATATAGGTATATATAAAAAAACTGTATAACAATGGGTGTGTTTGGCAGAAAAAAGCGCTAGCAAGCGCTTACAAGCTTACAAGCCCTAAAATAGTTTTCGGCCAGGACACGATTGCTACTTCAGTAGCGCTGACACAATCAGCAATTTTGCTTATTTAATTTGTTTGTTTTGGAGTAGAAATTGTAAGTTGTTTTGTGCAATATTAGTTTTAAGTAATATAATGACATGAATAGACATATACATGTTATTAAAAATTCATGATTGGTAAGTTTTTAATATGAATACTTTACAAACATATATTTAAATTAGGTTGGGTTCCCCGGTTAAAACTAACATCGTAAACTAGATACTTACGATTTGACAGCGCTTACCGCTTACGATCGCCATTTTGCTTACAAGCGCTTGCTAGCGCTTTTTTCTGCCAAACGCACCCATTAACTACTGTTAACTGCAAACTAAACTACTGTTCTGATAACTATAGAGGTAACTAGATACTGTTTTATATGTTATTTTAAATATAATAAATAGGTATATATTTGTGGGGAATTTTTGTCAGAAACCACTAGTTTCCCAAGAGAGAGCTTAAATGTTCTCAGTTTCAAGCTAAAGTTTTTAAATAAGATTTATGTGGCAATTCGTTTGCAAAAAAAAAATTAAGTCTAAGAGAGAATTGTCTCCTCAACAACAGACAATAACGATTGCAGACAAAAATGGCCGACAAAATGAATTGGTACGCACAGTATGTGAACCACGCACATCAGTGGTAACAGTATCAGTTTATACTGATCCAGCTTATGCTGGCCTCGTATTATATTAAATAAGTATCGACGCTGTCTACTAATCCTTATCTCAACTATCAGGGTTAATTTCTGAGACAATTTTCTAGAACTTTCCTTTTTCTTGATTTTTTTTTTGTTGTTCAGTTAGTTTTTGTTTTTAATTTTTAAAATAAAATATACGTTATTGTATTAAAATCAGTTTATTATTTTCCTTTCATCTGATGCACAGCCCTAGCACCTCAAATCTCTTAGTATGAAAGTGTGACTAAATGTGGTGATAACATTGCCCACCGCCATTAAAACTTAAAATGGACTTCTATTTATTTGAAAATGTAATGGTATACCATTTTGCCAATTTGCTAACAATATATCTTAAAATCAAAGTCATAGAACTTATAATTGCTGAGAAATTTAGATTGAGCAAAGATGTAAGAAAGTGGAGATAACTTAGCCCTCGTCTGTTTTTGTTTTTTTCTCAGCATCTGTTAGGAATTATGTCACCCGGTTTTGACAGTTTATTTGTTGCATAGAGTGTCGTTTAAAGCTTCAGCAACCATCAAAATAAAGTAACTATTTTTTGAAAAAAGTAATAAATTGATTAAAACTACTTTTACGGATTTTATCGCGTTTTATTTATATTAATTTTAATACCAGACGTTTCGGGTGCTTTCCAGCACCCATGGTCACGGGGGACTGACGTGACTGACGTCCCGATGTCAAAGTTAACCCGGAGTACGTTCAGCTCTTTAATTATTGCCAAAGACAATAATTAAAAAGCTGAAGGTACTCCGGATTAACTTTTAAGAAACGTCGGGTATTAAAATTAATATAAATAAAACGCGATAAAATCCGTACAAGTAGTTTTAATCAATGTATAGTGTTCGCGTAAATATAAGAAATCATTATAAAAGTAATAAAAACCGAAATATGTGGGCAAAAATGTAAGGTTTCACCGAACTTGTTTTTTTGCTAAACAAATATTTACCACACGCAGTAGTCATCATGATCAGGAGCAATGTTGATGAGTCAGTTCAAAAGAAAACTAATGCAAAGTTTTACTTCTTGGTGCAGGAATACTGCATAAATTTATTACAATTTGAGGGATACGTTACTTGTCTTTTCTTTCTCCGAATTGATGTAAGAAGCCTTGGCTCGTTATTAGTAATATAATAGATGCAGCGAGCGTATATGTTTGCTACATATGTACCATTCCCCCCGCTACATCCCCCCTCCCTTATAAACTATACACTTTGACATATTACTTTATTTTTAAATTTTTCACAATAAAAGAGACAAATACAAAGGAATAATTTATTACACGCATATATAAATTACATAATTTATACTTAATCTAAAATACTGCATAAACCACAATCATAAATTCATATACCTTACTTTAATATTTACAATTACCTAAATTAACTTATTTCTTATATTTATCTTATGTGATAATTTATCAGTAGGTATTTTGCATAATTATTAACATAGTATGTAATAAAATATTGTGCTGGTTTTATGTGAATTTTTCATTAGAAAAAGGAACTTGTAGAGAGTATTTATTGTGCATTGGCAGGATTTTCCCAAACCTAAAGGCTCTTTGCTGGGCGGATTGGCATTTAAACCTTTTTTTTATAGAAGAGTGAGCAAATGAACTTGTGCCTCCCAGAGTTGTCAGTGTCACCATATTAGAAACATCGCCGTGGTGTGTTGGCGGTTATTAAAATAAAAAAATCAATGCCAGCGGCAGGCTACAAAATAGCCAAAATGGATAGTAATTTTTTTTTAAAAAGTGATGAATTGGCCACCAACGCAATTGTGCGAATAGTGTTATTGTGTACTATTTTATGTAGTAGGCATTCCTGTCAATTTGCATAATTTTTAAGAAATGTGAAACTTGGCGAATGGAATTAGTTCAATATCAAGCAGTTTATTAAGAATTTAAGTATAAGCGATTCGAGCTGCTCTTCATTGGAAGCCGTCAAGTGGAATGAATTGGTATTAGAGTTTCTGGCTTAGATTATAGTAGCGCTTTGTAAAATTACAAACGGTGGGCCGGCAGAAAATATCATAATATATAAATATAATATGCCTCTCCCTTGTGTTGAGGTGCTTGTGTTGCGCAGTAGAGTCCAGTAGCGTGCCGTATAGTGCGGTTAGTAGAGCTGGTGCACAGTAAAGTCCAGTAGCGTGCAGTAGAGCTGAAGCGCAGTAGAGTTCAGTAGAGTGCGGTCAGTAGAGCTGGTGCGCAGTACAGTCCAGTAGCGTGCAGTAGAGCCCAGTAGCGTGCAAAATGGTGCAAAATAAAATCCAGTAGCGTGCAGTGCGGTCACAAAAGCCGGTGTGCATTAGAGTGCAGTCAGAATAGCTGGTGCGCAGTAGAGTCCAGTAGCGTCCAGTAAAGCTGGTGCGGTCAGCGGAGCTGGTGAGCGAGACGGTTGCGGCACTCGAGGCGGCTGCGGCTGATGTACGGCGAGGGCTGCTTGTGGTGCGCAGTAGAGTCCAGTAGCGTGCATTAGAGCTGGTGCGGTCAGTAGAGATGGTGCGCGAGGCGGCGCTCGAGGCGGCTGCGGCAGATGTACGGCGAGGGCTGCTTATGGTGCGCAGTAGAGTCCAGTAGCGTGCAGTAACGAGCTGGTGCGGTCAGTAGAGCTGGTGCGCGAGGCGGTTGCGGCGTTTGAGGCAGCTGCGGCGGATGTACGGCGAGGGCTGCTTATGGTGCGCAGTAGAGTCCAGTAGCCTGCAGTAGAGCTGGTGCGGTCAGTAGAGCTGGTGCGGTCAGTAGAGCTGGTGCGCGAGGCGGTTGCGGCGTTTGAGGCAGCTGCGGCGGATGTAGGGCAAAGGCTGCTTATGGTGCGCAGTAGAGTCCAGTAGCGTGCAGTAGAGCTGGTGCGGTCAGTAGAGCTGGTGCGCGAGGCGGTTGCGGCGCTAGAGGCGGCTGCGGCTGATGTACGGCGAGGGCTGCTTGTGGTGCGCAGTAGAGTCCAGTAGCGTGCAGTAGAGCTGGTGCGGTCAGTAGAGCTGGTGCGCGAGGCGGTTGCGGCGCTCGAGGCGGCTGCGGCTGATGTACGGCGAGGGCTGCTTGTGGTGCGCAGTAGAGTCCAGTAGCGTGCAGTAGAGCTGGTGCAGTCAGTAAAGCTGGTGCGCGAGGCGGTTGCGGCGCTCTAAGCGGCTGCGGCTGATGTACGGCAAGGGCTGCTTGTGGTGCGCAGTAGAGTCCAGTAGCGTGCAGTAGAGCTGGTGCAGTGAGTAGAGCTGGTGCGCGAGGCGGTTGCGGCGCTCTAAGCGGCTGCGGCTGATGTACGGCGAGGGCTGCTTGTGGCTCGCAGTAGAGCCCAGTAACGTGCAGTGAAGCTGGTGCGGTCAGTAGAGCTGGTGCGCGAGGCGGTTGCGGCGCTCGAGGCAGCTGCAGCTGAAGTCCGGCGAGGGCTGCTTATGGTGCGCAGTAGAGTCCAGTAACGTGCAGTAGAGCTGGTGCGGTCAGTAGAGCTAGTGATCAAGGCGGTTGCGGCGCTCGAGGCGGCTGCGGCTGATGTACGGCGAAGGCTGCTTGTGGTGCGCAGTAGAGTCCAGTAGCGTGCAGTAGAGCTGGTGCGGTCAGTAGAGCTGGTGCGCGAGGCGGTTGCGGCGTTTGAGGCGGCTGCGGCGGATGTACGGCGAGGGCTGCTTATGGTGCGCAGTAGAGTCCAGTAGCGTGCAGTAGAGCTGGTGCGGTCAGTAGAGATGGTGCGCGAGGCGGTTGCGGCGTTTGAGGCGGCTGCGGCGGATGTAGGGCAAGGGCTGCTTATGGTGCGCAGTAGAGTCCAGTAGCGTGCAGTAGAGCTGGTGCGGTCAGTAGAGCTGGTGCGCGAGGCGGTTGCGGCGCCAGAGGCGGCTGCGGCTGATGTACGGCGAGGGCTGCTTGTGGTGCGCAGTAGAGTCCAGTAGCGTGCAGTAGAGCTGGTGCGGTCAGTAGAGCTGGTGCGCGAGACGGTTGCGGCGCTCGAGGCGGTTGCGGCTGATGTACGGCGAGGGCTGCTTGTGGTGCGCAGTAGAGTCCAGTAGCGTGCAGTAGAGCTGGTGCAGTCAGTAAAGCTGGTGCGCGAGGCGGTTGCGGCGCTCTAAGCGGCTGCGGCTGATGTACGGCAAGGGCTGCTTGTGGTGCGCAGTAGAGTCCAGTAGCGTGCAGTAGAGCTGGTGCAGTCAGTAGAGCTGGTGCGCGAGGCGTTTGCGGCGCTCTAAGCGGCTGCGGCTGATGTACGGCGAGGGCTGCTTGTGGCTCGCAGTAGAGCCCAGTAACGTGCAGTGAAGCTGGTGCGGTCAGTAGAGCTGGTGCGCGAGGCGGTTGCGGCGCTCGAGGCAGCTGCGGCTGAAGTCCGGCGAGGGCTGCTTATGGTGCGCAGTAGAGTCCAGTAGCGTGCAGTAGAGCTGGTGCGGTCAGTAGAGCTAGTGATCAAGGCGGTTGCAGCGCTCGAGGCGGCTGCGGCTGATGTACGGCGAAGGCTGCTTGTGGTGCGCAGTAGAGTCCAGTAGCGTGCAGTAGAGCTGGTGCGGTCAGTAGAGCTGGTGCGCGAGGCGGTTGCGGTGCTCGAGGCGGCTGCGGCTGATGTACGGCGAGGGCTGCTTGTGGCTCGCAGTAGAGCCCAGTAACGTGCAGTGAAGCTGGTGCGGTCAGTAGAGCTGGTGCGCGAGGCGGTTGCGGCGCTCGAGGCAGCTGCGGCTGATGTACGGCGAAGGCTGCTTGTGGTGCGCAGTAGAGTCCAGTAGCGTGCAGTAGAGCTGGTGCGGTCAGTAGAGCTGGTGCGCGAGGCGGTTGCGGTGCTCGAGGCGGCTGCGGCTGATGTACGGCGAGGACTGCTTGTGGTGCTCAGTAGAGTCCAGTAGCGTGCAGTAGAGCTGGTGCGGTCAGTAGAGCTGGTGCGCGAGGCGGTTGCGGCGCTCTAAGCGGCTGCGGCTGATGTACGGCGAGGGCTGCTTGTGGCTCGCAGTAGAGCCCAGTAACGTGCAGTGAAGCTGGTGCGGTCAGTAGAGCTAGTGATCAAGGCGGTTGCAGCGCTCGAGGCGGCTGCGGCTGATGTACGGCGAAGGCTGCTTGTGGTGCGCAGTAGAGTCCAGTAGCGTGCAGTAGAGCTGGTGCGGTCAGTAGAGCTGGTGCGCGAGGCGGTTGCGGTGCTCGAGGCGGCTGCGGCTGATGTACGGCGAGGACTGCTTGTGGTGCTCAGTAGAGTCCAGTAGCGTGCAGTAGAGCTGGTGCGGTCAGTAGAGCTGGTGCGCGAGGCGGTTGCGGCGCTCGAGGCGGCTGCGGCTGATGTACGGCGAGGGCTGCTTGTGGTGCACGGTGCGCACGTGCAACTTGCGGCTGTTGGACTGCGCGAACGCCTTGCCGCATACTTCGCACTCGTACGGTTTTACTCCAGTGTGGCTCTGTAAACAAAAATCAAATGTTTAGTAAACTTATGAAAAGTACAAAAGTGCAGTAATCAGAACTAGACAGGTAGTATCGAATAATGTAGCAGACTTAACCGGTTGAGGACCTTTGCAGTGCAGTATATGGAAACGCAGAGTGCAATCTGTGGGAGAGTGGTGTAATTGCAGTAGTGGAAGTGCAATATTAGTACAAGGGGATGAGCAGTGTGAGTGCAGTCAGTGGAAGTGCAATATTAGTACAGAGTGAGTTCAGTGCGAGTACAAAACCAGTTCAGCTTGAAAGCAGTGTCAATATAGAGTACTAAAGATTGAGTACAGTGCGAGTGAAAGAGTATAGTGGGAACACAGTGAAAGTACAGGAGTACAGTGTGAGTGCAGTTTGCAGTGCTAATACAATAAGAGTGCAATGTTATATGTTAAGAGTACAGAGTGAGTGCAGGAGTGCAGTGTGAGTATAGAAGTGATTAGAATGTAAGTACGAGATGTGTTAAGAGGAGTACAGGGCGAGTGGTGTGTGCAGTGTGCTTTGAGTATTGTGGAGCAGTATGAGTGCAGTGTTTTGCAGTGTTAGTGCAGAGTGAGTGCAGGGGTGTGAGGTACGGGCGTGTAAGTACAGAGCAGGTGCAATTTGAGTACAGTAGCGCAGTGCTATTGCAGAGTGAGTGCAGGGAGTGTGAGTTACTGCCATGTAAGTACAGAGCAAATCCATTTTAAGCACAGTAGTGCAGTACTAGTGCATAGTGAGTGCAGAGGGTGTTAGGTATTGGCATATGAGTACAGGGCGAGTGCACTTTAAGTATAGTTAGTTAGTTTAGTGCAGTATGAGTGCAATTTTAGTGCAGAGTGAGTGCAGGAGGTGTGATGTACGGCAAAAAAATAACAAAGTGGGATATCTTTCGTAATAAGAGAAGTACTTTGAGTAATATTTTACAGTGCTAGTGCATAGTGAATGCATGGGGTCTGATGTATTGGCGTGTAAGTACAGAGCAAGTGCACTTTGAGTATAATAGTGTAGCATGAGTGCAGTACTAGTGCAGAATAAGTACAGGGAGGGTGAGGTACTGGCGTGTAAGTACAGGGCGAGTGCACTTTAAATCTAGTAATGCAGTTTTAGTGCAGAGTGAATGCAGGGCGTGTTAGGTATTAGCGTGTAAGTACAGAGCAAGTGCACTTTGAGTACAGTAGTGCAGTGCTTTGCAGTGCTAGTGCATAGTGATTGCAGAGGGTCTGATGTATTGGCGTGTAAGTACAGAGCAATTGCACTTTAAGTATAATAGTGTAGTATAAGTGCAGTACTAGTGCAGAGTACAGGGAGGGTGAGGTACTGGCGTGTAAGAATAAAGCTCATTGCACTTTGAGTATAGTAGAGTAGTGTATTGGCAGTGCTAGTGCTGAGTGCAGTGGGTGTAAGGTACTGACTCGCGAGTGCCGCTCGAGCGCGCCCTTGCACTTGAACGCCTTGCAGCAGACCGGGCAGGGGTGCGGCCGCACATCGGAGTGCGTGCGTTCGTGCATCTGCAGGTTGGTGCGGTTGAAGAACGCTTTCGGACATTGAGCACACTTGTATGCACGCTCTTCGGAGTGTGTTCGTTTGTGGTACACCAAAAATGCATTGCCCTGCAATAAAAAGACAACTTGTTAACAAATAAATGAAACTTTTGTTATTTGAAACAAACGCCAGCTTATAATGGATAAAAATAACTAAATTAAACAAATTAAAAATGTATAAATATAGTAGTAAGCTGTTACCCGAAAACTCTTGCCGCAAATATCACAGATGTAATTCTTCTGAATAGGATAGTTTTTATCAGGATGTACGCGTCGAAAGTGAGTCCAATAGTCTCGTGCATTCGCTATCTTCTCCGAACACTGCAATTTGAATCAAGATTGAGAACTAGGTTGATAAGTATTTGATATAGAAGTATTTTTCATAATTTTACTGTTGAAAGTACATTTATTTATGGGTTAAATCTACTTGTATAACGTTATGTTTTTGAGGCACTGTAGATTTATTTCCAATTATATCAAATAGAAAGCTAGATAAAATTTTGTTTGGAATCAAGCAAAGAAACATTACATTACAGTCATCAGTTTCTCTAATAGGTCCAAGTAAGATCTGCCACTCATTTTCATCATATAATTATCAATTTTTACTAAGAATAACACAACGAAATACTTTTTTCTCACAAAAATAGTCAAAACATAAGCATGTGCCGGCAATTTGCTCAGTATAAGATGATGTAATAACATGTCAGGTGTGGAGGGGGAGCGAGGGGGAGGGTCCGGCGCTACTCCCGCGTGCTTTATGGTGACAAGTTTCGACATAAATTGGTTAGGTACCGGGGTAATCTTGCCGAATAATGTTCGGCCGAATATTCGGTTCAGTAAAATTTTTACCGAACTTTCGGCCGAATAGTCCTATTCGGTGAAATACATATTCGGCCCATCCCTACTATTTATTCCATTTTTGCTACAGAAACATAATGGCCACCCAATAATGTAGGTATATTCATTACGTATATGCCAGACGTAAAATATCGTGATCGGTACCGTGTAGCATCGCTAAAGGGAGGTGATTGCGATCACCATCCGCCTGCAACCGTGTCAAATCTAGAATGTGAAAGACACAAGTATCTAGGCTACTGTCGTAATAATTATTAGACAAGGTTAATGGCAAAGCATTTTGGATTAAAAATGGGATATGGTCCTCCGAGCCGGAACAACAACAACATTGAAAACTTCAGATACATTTAATTTTATTAAATATTAAAATCCTCACTCGATCATTTAAATATGTTACATATAAATTACGAATATATCTATTTGTAATTTATATTACAAATGATTGAAACGATTCTATGCCATGAATAAATTAAATAAAACTGTTATTTAATGAATGGCCTGCCTAAAGCTCGGGGTTTCTCTACGTGATAAACTTAGAAATGAGTATATCCGCAGTAGAACCAGAGTAACCGACATAGCCCAACGGATTAGTAAGCTGAAGTGGCAATGGGCCGGCCATATAGCTCGAAGAACCGATAACCGATGGGGAAAAAAGGTTCTCGATTGGCAGCCTCGTACCGGTAGGCGAAATGTGAGGCAGCTCCCTACTAGATGGAGTGACGAAGTGGTAAGACATGCAGTAAGTTAATGGATGCAGGTGACTCAGGACCGTGCTTTGTGGCATTCCTTGGGGGAGACCTATGTTTAGCAGTGGACTTGTGATGGGCTTTATTGATGAATGATGTTGCTTTAAACACTGATTATGGTAGGTGTATGTGTAGTACGGGTATGACAATGTGTAAGTTTAAGTTTTTTATAAGGTCATGGATATGTTTAAATTTTAAACTTAGGTAACTATAAAGTTTACTAAAAAGGGCAAATTATAATTATAATGATTTAGACTCCATAATATGATTTGACGACTCCGTGGCGTAGTGGCTTAGCAATGAGCGGCTGCGCTGGGGGTCGCGGTTTCGAATTCCGCACGGAATGTATTGTATGGCCTATAAATAATTGTTCCGGGTCTGAATGTATGTCCTTGTGCAATTTATGTTTGTAAACTGCCCCCACGATACAGGAGAAAATCCTAGTGTAGGGGTAACGTTTTAAAAAAAAACAAAAAAAAACTAATGATATGATGATATTATTATCAATGTTAAGTTTTTTTCCAATAAAAGTAATTGTAACTTCATAGACATGCAGGTTTCCTCACCATGTTTTGCTTCACCGCCGAAATGTTATAATACATATCACGTATAATGATTTAAACATTCCAAATATTGCTATTATTATAAGTAATATAAACAGATTTGTGTGAACAATGTACTCACATGTTCGCATTCTGTGGGCCAGGCGAGATTGGACGGCTTCTTGCCGTAGTTCTTGGGCCTCTTCCGAGCGTGTTCCGTTCTATGGTGCAGACGTAATTCTTCTGCGTTACTGAATGTCTCCCCGCAAACCCGGCATCCCGTACTGAGTACAGATTTAGTATCAATTTATTTTATAAAATTTGTTACATATTGTGATTTGTGTACGGCCAGGGACAATGAGTATGTGTTGGGACCTACGTATATAGGGTTTCGTACAGATTATAAATACATATAAATAAAATTTAAATGTCTGTAATATTAAAATAAATAGCTCAGCGGGTTATTTGTATACCATTTAGACATAAATAACCATTTTTAAATTATTTATCTGTCTGTCGGGCTTAACCGATTGTAATCAAATTGTCAAGAACTGATAGTAAGCAATGCCAGTTTTTTTAATTGAACTTTTTTTGATGGCTATTTTCTAAATCTAAATAATACATTAATAAATCCTAACCAGGCAAAGCTGGACCGGATCGCTAGTCTCTAATATTTTTTTAAGTTTATAAGCCACTTTTTACGTTACAATTTTAATCGAAAGTACCAAGAGCTATTTTTGAGATTTTTAATGCTGGTATACTTACTTATATACTCGTTCACATATATTGTAATGTAAAACTTGACATTTTTATGTCCATATTTAGAAACGAGTCTTATACTTGGCAAGGAAATAAACAAATTATGCTACACTAAATTTATTTTTGTTGTGATAGGTAATATTAAGTTTAGTGTTAAGATATTTTTGCGGTGAGAAATAAATAAATACGTTTTAAATGCTTCTATAATCACCACTTACTTAAAATCAGTGCTCTGCGTATGCTTCACTGAAGTCACCATGTGTCTTTTCCAAGCTTCTTCTGTTAAGAATTTTACGTCACATTGCTCGCAGTACGGACCTTCTTCACTTTCTTCTGCTTCTAACTTCTCCTTAAAATAAAACAGTAGTTTATACTGTATAAATTCTCAATTTAAATATGTATTTGTATAGTTATAATGAAATTAAATTGTTTAATATAATAGTCTACTCTTAGTGGAATGGGAGCACTCCATCTCAAGCGACAGGGCTGACAATGCATATGCATTTTGAGTTTTAATTGACGGTAGATGTAATTGTCATCAGGTAGGCTGTGTTCGTTTGTCACCTACCTTTAATAAATGTCTGATTCTCTTTGAAATCCATTCAATCCTGCTGGAAGTCATATCAATGTGAAATAAGCAGTGGCTTAGTAAGTATAGTTTTACTTAACTATATATTTTTTTTAATTTCTTTAGACTTCCAAATGAATAGGCTGCGAAGACGGTGTACGAAAATAAACTTATTATTCGTCTAGCCTTTTTTTATAGAACATGGTGACAAACAAGCACACAGTCAACCCGATAGTAAGTGGTTGCTGTGGCCCATAAACATCTACATCCAAGCTCGATTACAAATCAAAATGCAGATGCGTTGTCACCCGTGAGGACTAAAATGGAATGCCTCTTTTCCAGTAAAAAGGGTCTCCGGCATCTGGACAATTCGCTCTCTTGACGCTGCTCTCAATTACCAATCTAAGTACAGTCATCTAGCACAACCGTATCTCTGAAGACATAAGGTCTTCGTAGTGTTTCTCGTAGTCGACATTTACGAAAATCACGAAACGAGGTAAAGCGTTTTTCTCACGGCTATTGACAAATTATAACATAACATATCCATAGCATATCATAGTCGCTATCTAGTGGTGGCGTAAAATAATCTACTATCCCAAATCATTTCGTAGGTATCGTAAGAGACGACAAAGGAAAATTTAAACACAGGATGCACAGCATTTTCCTGATAACAACTCAAAATATTAAAAACTACGAAAACCCGCCTGCCAATATAATAAAGCTACCTATGAGGCTATCTATGGGGGGAGGTTTATGTATGCTTTGATCCCAAAGCAAAATTGTCTAAATAATTCAGATTTGACAAGGTTTTGAGATCGTCCGCCGTTCACCAGATGCCAATAGATTTTTCTAGGTCCAGCACTTTCGACTAGTTTTTTTTTATAAAACTGAAATAACAAACAAATTCACAGTCCCCTTAATGGATGCGTTGTTACTTCTGAGGACTAAGACGGAATGCATCTTGTTCTGTAAGTATACTGGCTCTATAACCTTCAGACCAAAACACAACAGTGCATGCACTGCTATTTTGACTGCTGAAATAGGTAAGTTCAACAGTTCAGATGGATTCCTATAATAGGTAGAAAAAGAACTCATAGCACCTATAAAATAAACAATGTGCGGTGTGTATAGTATATAGTGTAATGTACGATGTATACTGACGAGGTCCTTGTGCATCATGGTGCGGTGCATGGCGAGGCCGAGGCGGCTCACGAAGGAGTATCCGCACGCGCCGCAGATGTGCTGCGACGGGTGCTTCATGCGCACGTGGCTCAGGTACGACGTCCACTTGCTGCCCGCACGGAACCACATGCACACGAAACGGAACGGAACACTTGAGTATTTATCGCGATACAAGCCACGTGTAGAGGCGATATAAGAATATCCGCTACCTCATAACGGGATGATATGAGCTTAGTAATGGCTTGCGCCGCTAACGGTGTATAAACAGCCATTACTCCATATCGTCTCGTGGGTGTCGTAAAAGACGAAAGGTAAACAAGCCAGGAGATTGGTAGCAGCATAAAAAACTGTCGGTGCCAACATGCCCGCGAAACGTGGCAACTACGCACATGGCTCAGCTTCGCTTCGGAACCACACGGAAACGGAACGGAACGCTTTCACTTATTTATTGCAGCGTTGGCTAGCGTGTAGCGGCGGTGTGAGAATATGCGCTACCCTATATCGTCTGTAAATATCGGAAAAGGTGACAGATCGAAACAAACCAGGAGATGGGCGGCAGCGTCTTCCTAACGAAAAATAAAATAAATACTGTGGTTGCCAACCCCAGGCGAGTGAAAGCGTGGCAACTATAGCAAATATCTTTCTTTTGAGGCAATGTAGCAGCAGCATCTTTACAGTTCACCTGGTGGTAAGTGGCTGCTGCAGCAAACAAAGGATGTTACAGTTGCGTTGTCATCTTTGAGAACTAATATGAAATGCCTTACAGTCTGTAATTATACTGGCTCTCTACACCTTTCAGAACCTTTGAAGGGTGTAGAGAGCCAGTAAGAAGCTCAGAAAGATATGCTCATTTTTATAAGATAAGGGTGATAAACGAGCACACAGTCCACCTGATGGTAAGTGGATGCTTAGACTCGTAAACATCTACATCTATCCTCGATTACGAACCAAGACGCAGATGCGTTGTCGCCCGTGAGGACTACGATGGAATGCCTATTATCTAGCAAAAATGATCTCCAATTCTCTACACTCACCATACGAATTCCAGCAGCGTTAAGTTCGTGCGTGCGAGCGTGTTCTTTCCCCGGTCGAGCCAACCCATTCGTGCTACAACTATACTACTAATATAGCTGCAGCGTGGCTCTACACATTTTCGGCAGAAATAGGCAAGAGGGTGTTCCTACCTATAGTTCGTGCCGAATCGATTGTGAAAAACGGACATTGACCATTCGGTCATTTAACCAGTGGCTACAAACCTTCAATATATAGGCACTTTTTATATAAATTTCTTTATTTATAATGATTTTTTTATAATGATTGATATAATATATATTTATTAACAATTATTAAAATGTAAAAGATCGCTGTAGAAGATAAATCATCTATTGTTATAAAGTACTTTATTCATTTAACAACAAAAAGCATTAATTTATAACAAATATAAAGATTCGACTGATAACGACACCGAAGTAAGTACGTTCTTATTCAAAAGATAAAACTTTATTTTTAATACTATATAAGAACTTTATTTTTATTCGGTGCATGCGGACCGGCCCAAAAAAGTGACGCATCTCTGGCTGCCATTGTTACGTTTCTTTTAGAACGAACTGACGTAACGCGCATTTTGTATATTTTAAAGGGATGAATTTGCAAAAGCTCAATATGGTAACTATATTGCTTCAAATACTTTTTTTTAATATGGAACTGTTATTAAATGAATTGCTGCGTTACTTACCATAAATTGAAATATACAATATAACACTTTTTCGCAATGTATCGTAAGATTTTACGATGTTTATAGGAACCACAGACAATATTATTTAAAAAAAACAAAAAAAAAACATATGTGCTGACCTAGAAGTGTGAATAATATCAAGATTTAAATGTTGTCATCACATCTGAATTGAGATTTTGTAAGTTACGTCGAAAGGTGTCTCGGCTCATATCTGAGGTCATCGTCCGTATTTCTCAATCGATTTGGCACGAACTATAGACAGACCCCTATGCAAAAAAAGGAACTCTTCCACCTATGTAATACATTTTGGCTGGATCGTTTAGTTGGGCGTAAACGCGGTTACTAATCATGAGGTCCTGGATTCGAATCCCGGTTCAGGCCAAAATTAGTTATTGGGTTGTTCCGTCAAGAAATTTTCAGTAGCAGAAGGGAGTTTCCAACATGCCTTAGAAAGCACGTGAAGCCGTTGGTCCTGCGCCTGATCTCTCTCCGGTCGTGTCAGATTGCCATCTCATCGGAGCATGATCGTGAGGGAATTGTGAGAGCACCTGTGCTGACGCCACACACTTGTAGTCTATAGTCCTGCTGCGTAGACGGCTAGTCTCCGTAGATACAGGCCGCCGTAACCGAAATTCGAACTGAAGGATATTATAATAAGGTCAAGACTTACGTCGATATTTCATCGCAGTATTGGCATTTATATGTGACGCCTTTATGCCATCTCTGGTGTTGTTTCGCTTGTGTCCTGTGAAATGGTAAGAAAGTTAACAAACTTTAAAATTGATCACTGTCATCGTTAGAGCAAATCACAAGTCCACGGCTAGACATAGGCCCCCTACCTTGGGTAACTTGTAGGATAAATTATATGATGTAATAATAAATTTAACTTCTTTCTAGCAGATAATGAGATAATAGGAAATCGTTTGGACGAAGTGAACTGGAACTCAGGATTGAAATCATGTTTAAAAATGGATGACGTATCTAAATTTTACAATATTTTATAATTAAATTATTGCTGAGTGTGCCCACCCGGAAATGTAATAATAAGAAATATCCACCATGGTTTTCAACAACTTCATTCGCTTGTTGCGTGAAAGTAAGAAGTATATTGAAAGAACGAACGTCGACCATGATAAAAAAAATGTTACAGTAGATATATAGAAAAAGTTGTCAATGTTGTAAAAAATCCAAAACACTTAAGCACACAAACATTTAGTTTTGGCGTATGGTTAGTGATACTGTTTTGGTCGATGAAACTACATGTCATGTAACTGTAACATTAGGTCAGATATATATATATATATATATATATATATAGAATATTTTAACATGTCTATAGACATATCGGCGGCTCGTGCCTAAATACTCAAACACTACTCAATTTTAAGACGCCGTTAAGTCTCATGCTGTCTCTATCACTTTAAATCAAAGTGACTGTGACACCACGAGACTTAATGGCGTCTTAAAATTGAGTAGCGTGTGGGTATTTGGTCATCAGACCACCAAAAACAGAAAGACAGAGCCACAGTTTAGACAGTCTAACTGTTGGGAAACGAATGTACTTGTGCAGAGAAACGACGGGGCCTTGCGGGGCGGCGGGCGGCGCGACAGTGTGCCAGCGTATTTCACAGAGTTTGATACATGCGATTGACGCGAGCGTGTTTTGTAGTAGATATTTAACTAATTTTAAGTGCCGTTTTCGATAAATATAATATTTATAATGGTGAAATACCGTTACAGTTACATGAGTTACTAAGTAAAGTTATATGAATATGATGACCATGCTTATGTTTATTCGAATACAAATACACTACCAATAAATTTTACAATCGAAAACTGAAAACATCTATAAAAAGAAAGAGTCACAAAAATATTCAAAGTGCAACGCTTGTAAAATTATTTTTTCTTGTAGTAATAAAATGATAATGTATAGATAAGTATTATATCATACTCCGCGTAGGTATTTACGCGGGCGGCGGCATCGCCAGACATCAAACGCGTTTCACAACTATTAGTTCTTCAAACTGTGACAAAACGCTGCGGCGTTCATTTCAAGTTACTATAATTAATAAAATCAGGTGTTACTTTGCATAAATCCATTATATTTAAGCTGTTTTTTTCTCTCTCTTTAATAAACGTTACCTCCACATACATAAATTTCACAAGAACTAACATAGAGACCCGGAACAAACTTGTAGGCCATACAAATCATTGTTGCGTGCGGGATTCGAACCTGCGGCCCTCTGCGCTTTAACTTGTTGCTAAGACACTGCTCCACAGAGCCGTCATTTAAATGCAATATCTTATCTGAGTCAACTTAGCGGTCAGCCACCGCATAGTATACTTCAACTGAGGATGCCTCCTGTAGAGGAGAAACACGTGTCGTATTATCGACGTTGTTAAGTCTATCTTAGTGTAGTGGTGTTGGGAGTAGTGGTGACTGGAATAGTGTACGAAATTGAGGGAGGGCGGGAGGTTGTCTTTAAACCAGGTAAGACTTATCATTTTATTTTACTATGTGATTTCTTATATTTACGCAAATAGTACACATGGAATAAAACTAATTTTATTCCATGTGTAATAAAGGACCTATAATACAGGTTTTTTATACCTACATCAGGCACCAGTTTCTCACAACTTAGGTACCAGTCTGGCACTTTTGTAATACTTACTACTTAGCACTAGGAATACCTATTGTGAAGAGAATAAATGGATTCATTCATTAAATTATACGAATTTTTTAATTTAAATTAAACACGATAAAATCCATAAAATTACTTTTATTCCATATTTAATTTTGCTCAACTTAGTGTAAGACCAACACAGTGGTTTCAGGTGCATATGTGTGGGTCTAGCGGTGTACATTTTCGGTCTAATAAAGGAAGAAAGAAGGAAGATGTTTGCGTGTTAAGTTCAACATGGTTTATGCATAACTTTAAATATACGCAGCGCTGAGTATATACTTTTTTAGCTTAAGACAGGCGTTTAACTTACGTTGTCTTCGAGACATAAGGGCAAGCTTTGCAGGCGTACTTCTTCTCGTGGTTGGTGACGTGCTTCTGCAGCGTCCGCTTCGTTTTGAAACGGAACTTGCAGATCGAACACTCCAAATCGCCTGCGCTCTGCACCCAAAATATACACTTAACAAATTCAATTGAAACCCAATTTTTCTTAATGTGCATGGTATATGTCACGTTACAGCTTCTACACACTACGACTACTAACATTGGTAGGCTATAATTAATGAATGAACAATTAATGAATAAAGTTAAAACTCAACTGGATCGTGTTTCCCCACGTGATGTTTCCACGCGTGCGTGTCTATGAAACCTTTATAGCACAAATTGCACTGGAAGGACGCGTTCAGATAGTTGGAGGAAGTCTTGCGCTTCGTTATCTCTTCAATCTGTTCCTCCACCTAGAAAAAAAATTGTACAAAGCTTATTTCAAGTTTATTATACCATATTTGAGTTACATATGAGTTTACAATGTGTTAAAACTGATTTTAAGTGTACGTGTTGATGTCTTTACCTAGTTCCAATAAAAACATTAGTGGGAAAAAACCGTGGCCGTTTGGTGCCAGCGAAAGAGAATCGTGGGAAAAGAAAAAATGATCTTCAATAGGAATTACTCGTAATGCATATGAAATAATAGTACATTACGATACAAGGGACTTAACTCGACGATTATTGAACCGAGCACAAGCGAGGCGAGTGCACTAACTTTACACATTTTATTAATCGTTTAAGTTCCATGTATCGTACATTATTTTATAGTAGAAGTGACTTAAATCCACGAAAATTTTACTTTAATTCAAATTCAAGAAAAACATTATTTGAAATTAAAATCAAACAAATATATTGGCAAAACATCCCTAAAAATACAGAGAATCATAAAAGCATCATGTCCAGTCTTGACCTGAAAATTTTCTATCGCATCTAGTGATGTAAAATATCTTATAAAATTGCATTTTTTTCCTTATTTCGTATCGCATAATCGAATTTTCAAATAAAGCCAGAAAAAAAAATTTATGTTGTTGTTTATCATTCTCAATGGACTTTTGGAGACGGAACGTGTTTTACAATGGCTCAAAGGCCCAGAAGCCATGCCAAAATATATTAAAAACGTGTTTTAGACGTTCCGTTTTAGATTACAAAAAACTTGCCCATTCCAGTGGCGAAGCCTCCATAGAAGCCCTTAATTAAAGCCCCAAAAAGCCTTATCAAGCTGAATCAATCAGTAATATCAAGTAATAATATAACTCGTAAACTGTTTCAAACTATTTCAAATTTCCCGCGCGCTCTGTTCGACACATTCGTAGCCTTGGGGATACTGCTGTCATACATATAAGGAGAGTTGAATTGAGCGATTGGTTCTCTCGCACGCGTCGGCTTTTTACCGGGCTTTCGAGTAGACGATCGCTCCCTTTCTGACCTGTGGCAAAATGTTCTATAATGAAATATAACTACGATTGTATAAATAGCAATTAGTATGGAGATAAAAAGCCCGGCTTTTAAGTGACCATTTATATTTCCTCAGAGCGGGACGCCTTTAAAATTATTATAGTTTTAACACTTTTGACTGCCTTCTTGGTCTAATGGTCGTAAACGCAATTGCTGATCATGTGGTCCCAAGTTCGAAACCTGAGTCGGGTCAAGAATCATTTATTGGGTTTGGGCAATATAATCCAGATCCGCAGATGGCTATTTTCTGTTGAGAATAGCCACCGTTACTAAAATTCAATCTAGAGCCCTTTAACATAGTTTTATAAATAAAACACATAGTTGTTTGAATCTTTTAATGATCAAAAGTGAATTCTGAACATCAAATAAATACTAGTTGGAAATAACCTATGTTATTTGATAATTTATTGTAGATTAATTATAAATTGTCACTTCATTATTTTATGGTAAAAAAATTTGCAAAGCTTTATCTTCTCATTATACTATATCTAATTCCTGTCGTAATCTGTTCTTCTGTGCATATAACTTAAACAAAATAATTTTGATGTATCACATCTGCCAGGCGTCCTTTTTTTTAATTTTGTACATAGTTTGTTTGTACTTTGTTCATGCTTTTCTTTTGTTCATGTATTGTATTGTATGTAAATATCTTTTTCTTTCGCTCAAGCAAACCCAAACGGCTCTTTTCAAAGCCACCAAAGGTATGCAATTGCATATGTCATACAATGTTATCTAGCGATAGTGTGCTTCTGTGTTCTTTTTGAAACACGTCCTCGGCAGAACTGAATATGAATCTGAAGAGTGGAGACAGATCAAGATTGGTGTATTTTTATAAAACTGCTAAAAACAACAAAACCATATCTTGGGCTTGCCCTAGTTTGGGGCCCTAGCTTCGCCACTGGCTCATTCGTCATATGGTTTATGGATGTTCAAAATAACCAATTTCTTTTTTTTATAATTAATTAATTTACGATTAGATACGATTTTTAATGGGTTTGAACTATGGTGTGGAAAGAAAAATAAATGTACAGACCTTATCTGACAGCTATTATAGCCTCAAACTTTTATTTATTTAATAGCATTTTTCCCTAGACTCTAAATGAAAAGATGTTACATTATTATGTTATTATTAACAATAATTGTTTTTTATACAACAATAGTTGTAGGTAGACGCGACATATTAAAGGAATCAAGTGACAGGTCATTCAATGTATGGAAAGTGGGCATGATTCTTTAAGTAAAAGAATAAGAACATTCATCGATATAAATGGCAAGATATGGCCATGCTAACAAAAATTTTTCATGGTTTAAGCATAGAATAAATCAGAGCCATCTCTTAAATAATCATGAACTACCACGGAACCAGTGTTTCTACTTATGATTTTTAGAAATACTACCTAAATTTTAATAATCGAAATAGTCTTATTTATTGCACCTATTTTCAATATTTTAAAGAACAACATCATTGCAAGATTAGAATATCAGTATAAGCAGACATTCCCATTTCCAAATTACAATAACACTTGGTCTTATATGAATAACAAATATATAACTAAGTAAAATATTATATTCCCATATTCCGATACATAGAATGAAAAACTTTTTCATTCAACAAGAGCTAGAAAAAGCTCTTTTGACTCTATCCCCTTCGATAAAGCTTTAAAAAATTACATTTGATGGGTATAAAAAACAGAGTTACCTGAAGTTCCATTTATCCAAAACCCTGTAAACCTGAAGAAACGCCTAAAGTCCTACCTATATTAGTAGATTTACCCTAAAATAGTGCAAAATATCTAAAAGTGGAAGCACTGCAGGGACGCACGGCACACAATGGTGCTCGTCGTGTTGAGTCGGTGCCATTTTGTTTGTTCAATGAATGACCCGGTCCACACGCAGTAGTATAATAAGTCTATGACAACATCGATCTAAAGATTTAATTAAACGGGTACAAAGGTGCAACGAGATTCGATTTACAGAAGTTTTGTATGATTCAGATGTTAGCTTATATATAAATGATTTATTAAACTTAGATACACAACGGTCTTATTTTTTTGGCAATTGTAATGTGACGGTAAATGGTAGTAATAGTAATTGTGTTTCTGATAATTGTACTTTAAAAAATAAGTCAAATATTTTTTTATATTTCTTAATCAAATGATTTAATGTTTTGGTTGTAATTTAAAGTATTCTCATAGATGTTACTAATTAAAGTTCTATTGTTCTGTTTTTGTTATTGTTTCAATACATGTTTAAATTAAAAAAATATATATAATTAAAAATTTTATGCGTGACTTAAGTTAAACACAATACACATACAATAATCGGCTAGTTAAGTCTCGCAAGAGTGGTTTTAAGTCGCCGTGTACTATAAAAATTATTCTATTCTATTCCATTGTCTCATATCATTCTGTGCGTGCTGGCATTAACAAAGTCACACCTGTCAGCCAGAGGGGCAACCAGAGATTAATGTTACCATCACAACCTACCAAAAGTCCAAACATAGGCCTCCCACATTTATTCTTATATGATGAATATTTGCCACAGTTGCCGGCTTGACAACAGCATTTTTTTTTATTTTTTAGTAATTATTAGGTAGACGCTGCTAGCTCCTGGTTTGTTTCCCTCTGTCGGCTTTTAAGACATCCACAGGATGATATAGGTTAGTGGATATTCTTACACCGCCACTACACGGTAAGAAGGCGGAGATTACGCACTTCCATTCAGCGGGCACTTTTTTTTATAGAAGAGGGAGGCAAACTAGCATGCGGCTCACCTCATGTTAAGTGACTACCGCCGCCCATGATCAACCGCAACACCAGGGTAATTGCAGGTGCGTTGCCGGCCCTTTATAAAGGAGTAAGCTCTTTTCTTGAAGGTCCCCTGGTCGTATCGGTCCGGAAAAATCACCGGTGGTAAACTATTCCATAGAGAAGGCGTACGCGAAAGAAAACTCCTTGTAAAACGTACAGTGATGGACCCGCCAAGCATCCAGATGGTGTGGATAGTATCGGGACGTTTGCCGCATAGTGCGTTCACGAAATTTGGCGGCTGGGATTAATCCGAACAATTCCTCAGAGCACTCCTCGTGGTATATACGAAAGAAAATGCAAAGAGATGCAACATCTCTTCGCAGCGCCAGTGATTTAGATTCTATCACATACACATATGCAAAGGCCGGCAACGCATCTGCGATTCCCCTGGTGTTGCAGTTGTTCATGGGCGGCGGCAATAACTTACCGTCAGGTGAGCCGTATGCTCGTTTGCCCCCTCTTCTATAAAAAAAATATACTAGATGAACTTTTTTACCATCTGGAAAAAATGAGATGTAACATGTGAACGGAGTAGAAACTTATAGCACTGATATTTTACAAAGAAAAAAACAAAAATTTTGAATTAAACGTTTTGAAAACTATTTTTGAACAATTACTTTGACCTTTGCCCTTGAGCCTATGACCCTGCAAAGTGACAAGGTCAAAGATGCCTACTAAATGTATTGTTTTATTGCCGTTCGTAAAGTAGGGTGGATGTGATATGAATTTCGATAGATTTTAATTAACTAATTAATTTAATTTAAAATTTTTGTTTTTATTTTTTGTAAAATACCAGTGCCATAGGCTTCTACTCCGTTCACATGTTACACCCTTTTTTTCCAGACGGTAAAAAAGGACATCCAGTATATGCAAGCATGCTGGTCAGTACTCATAATTTCACCCTATCATATTTTTTAAAGAATATTAACAATGCTATAAACATTACTAATATTCCCATTAACCACTCGTGGTAAGCTTAAATTGCTTGTGTTACGAGTGGTTCACGCCAGTAGTCGAATGGCGGATTCGAACCCACGACCTTTTTGAGTTCGCGGTCCGCGCCCTGCTATTAGGCTACTGTCGCTTTTTGAATCATTAATCATTAATTATACAATAAGCAAATATGTAAAATTTACCGTTAATTTTATGATAGTGACATAGTCCTCTAAGTCTGTCTCATCATCAGGTAGTCCTCCCGTGTTCCTCGTTCTTCTTGGCTTCTGTTCTTTTGTTTCCACTGTTCCCTCTACAATTTTTCGCGGACGACCTCTCTTGCGTTTGCTTTTAACAATTTCTCTAATATCTGGAGGCAACATTTGACTGTCATCTGCACTCTGAAATATTTTAAAGTTTTTTAAGCTTTTAAGAATGTACTAATAACTAAGCACAGGTTCAAATATATATATATATATACTAGCTTGCCAGGCAGACGTTATCCTGCCCTTTTCGACGACCCTTTGTCATGTCCTATGAACAATCCTTAAATTCGCAAAAAAAAATTGTGGGCAATCATGGGCAAAAAAAATATAAGTATCTCAAGTTGGACCAAACTGCAATCGGTGTGCAAATTTGATTAAAATCGGTTAAGTAGTTTAGGAGTCCATCGCGAACAAACAAAGTGACACATAATTTATATGTATATATATATATATATATATATATATACATATATACACATATACCTATAGTTTCAAAAAATGTATCTCATTATAGCTTTGTAATATAGACTAGTACAATAATTTTGAAAAATGGTACCTAAAGGGGTTAAGCCAAGAATTTCACAGTAATGAGGCATCTGGGTGTGATAAACTCTAGGCGGTAGGCATTAATGAAATTATTAATTGCAATGTTAAGTCCTGATTTACCAATTGCACTGCGGTAAAGAGAAAAGTCGCGAGAAAAGCTGCCTGTGCCTTCGTAAAAATGCACTAAGGCAGCGCGACAGTCTAATTGCTCCAGGAAGATCGCATAAATATCAGCGTAAAATAGCAACTTTATGCTGCTGTTTCGTATGGTAAGTGTAAAGAACAGGAGACCCTTTTTTCCTGAAAATGAGGTATTCCATCTTAGTCTTCAGGGGTGACAACAGTGCGAAGATAAATGTAGATGACTATAGGTCACAGCATCCACTTACCATCGGGTTGACAGTGTTCACACTTATTATATAAAAAAAAAACATATTATATTGTTAAGTGTGTGGCGAGCACACACAGCAAGCATACAGTCACATCGTCCAAAACCGCTAAGCTTCTTTTGCATTGAAAAAGAGGATGCTGTGGCATCCACTTACCATCAGATGATTTGTGCCCATTTATTATCCTTTTTCTATAAAAAATAACCCTGTCTGGAGGAATGACAGAGCTGTGCCCTGCAACCAAACGTGCTACATTTCTGGCTGTAACTTTTCCAATAATTGCCTAAGTATCTGTTCTATAGGGACTTGTTCAAGATAAATGAAAATATGTTTCCAACCTCTGTAAAATTTAAATTCTCTTCAGGCTTATTTTCTGAATCAGGCCCTTCATGTTCCTCCTTCTTTATTAACTTCCTTCGCTTCTTTTTAACCAATGTCTTTTTAAGCTGCTTCTCTTTATTAGTTTTATGAAGAGATAACGGTTCATTGTCATCACTTGATAGTGTTGCCGGGATTTCATCAAAACAATATTCTTCTTTTATATCTTCCGCCTCCACACCACACTCTTGAATACTCTCTTCTAGTTCGAAGGGTTTTTCTAGTTCATCATCAAATTCCTGATTACTTTCCTCTAGATCAAATAACTCTTCTTTGATATCATCTTTAGTTTTATTTTCATAAGTAAAAGTAAAGTCTTTATACTCTTCTAAATTAACTACAGAGAGGTTTGACTTCAAATATAAATATTGTCTGTCAATCTGTTTTATCCCTTCCGATGTTATCTGTTAAATAAGATTAACCATATATAAATAACTATTTATAAAATACCATGCACTAAAGAACATGTGGCGGCGAATAAGAAAATCTACAATGCCAAACGAGTGTAAAATAAACAATGAAGTTTCATTGTAATAAATTACCTTTCCCGATGAATGCAGTATACCACATAGAGCAGCTTGTCCCCTCAGACATTTCTCACGGAAGAAAAAGAACTTCTTGACTAATGTGGCACACTCGTAACAGGCAAGTTGCGGCAGATCTGCCAACTTTAGTGGCTGCAAATATTTTAAGCATTCTTTTTTTACTTTAGGTAGGTATTTATAAATATTTATATATGCATGTTGGCCATGCAGACATCGTTCTGTCATTCTGGTAGTTGGCGCGATAAATCACTCCAAATTCAATCTGGGCTTTTGCAGTGCAAATATAAAACATATTACTCAACTCCAGCATCACCTATCAGGTCGTATCAGGACCCGATAGGTGAAGAGGTATATAAATTGTATGAAAGGGATTTAAGGGGGTCGGCGCAAATAAGCATGCCGCTGCACGATAAGCAACACGCCTATAGCTTCACCACAGTGGCGAAGCCTCCATAGAAGCCCAGAAGCCGAGCTTGCTCTATAAAACTGCTCAATCAATAATATCAACTAACAAAATAACTCGTAAACTGTTTCAAACTATTTAAAATTTCCTGCTCATGAACTCGTAGGCTCGTAGCATATAATATGTAACGTCAACACTTGGCAGTTTGCTTTCAATTCGAAATACACTGTCAGTGTGCAGATTTTGTTGTCTCTCTCGCACGCGTTTTCTTTTTACCGGGCTTTCGAGAAGACGATCGCTCCCTTTCTAACCTGTGGCGAAATGTTCTATAATGCAATATAACTACTTAAATGTTTATATAGCAATTACTATGGAACCAAAAGCCGTGCTTTGCCCTGAAGTTGATTAGGAGTGCGTTAGCGAGTGGGGGTACGGGCGATGCGTTTGAAATTTCACTTCACATGTTATATATATCATTCAATGTTTATGTTTATTTTTGTTGTATCTGTTAAAATTTATGTTTTTTCAAAGATTTTTAGTGAAAATGGGAGGATAATAGTGTTCCTTGTGATGAATTTAAGTGTGTTAAAGTGCTAATCGGCAAGGAAAAGGTAAAAACATAAAAATTAAATTTTAACTAACAATAAACATTTCTTCATACTTTAACAGGTACAGGACTCTTTAGTATTAAAGTTTAATTATTCTAGGCGTATTTTCATTTCAAACTTCAGCATAAAATATGAGATACCTAGGTATAAGTTTAATTTTATAGCAAATAATTTTTATAATTTTTTTTTAATGTGAAGTCCAAATTTTAATATAATAAAATAAATGAATACATGTATCGAGGTTTTTAAAGAATATTTACTTTAGTCATTCAGTTCAGTATATAAAATATTAATAGCACAATCTACTTAATTCTATAGGTGAAGTCATTTTATCGAAGGAAAATTTATTAATTCTCACGGTGGTACGTAAAGATTACGCTAGATGGCACAAACACGCTATCGGCTAATTTAATAATTATATTATTCTTCTAAGCATATAACTTAAACAAAATAATTTCGATGTTTCACATCTGCCAGGCTTCTCTTTTTTTAATTTTGTACATAGTTTGTTTGTACTTTGTTCATGCTTTTCTTTTGTTCATGTATTGTATTGTATGTAAATATCTTTTTCTTTCACTCAAGCAAACCCAAATGGCTCTTTTCAAAGCCACCAAAGGTCACTCAAGAAGCTCACACAGCCACTTCCTTCAGGTAACTAGGACTGAATTTATAAATTATATACGCACCTTATAAAAATAGCATTTTATTCTAAATTTGTTTCATTATAAAATAAATAATAATTACTATAAAATAAACTATTATATATTTATTTCCTAACTACAACAAATTAAGTGGTGACAATCAAACTCATGAAAAAGTCTTTTATAGGTATTACAATAAATATTTTTATTTTTTATTTTAATAAAATATAATCAATATTCCCTTAATAATTCTATTAATAAGCTCTTTTGTGATTTCTTCTTTAATAGGTTTCGACTACCAATATCTGCTATTTTTGTTTTTCTTTTTATGTTACTCCAAATTGTTCATCAAATGTTATAAACAATAAACAAGTAAGTAATAATAAATAATGAACAAGCAAAGAAATGCTAAGAAGCAAGCCTCTTCTGCAACATTGGTTAATAAAACCATTCATAATTTTCAAGGAATCGAAACAAAACAATGTTACTCTGTTCATGAAATTTTGATGAACTGTCATGTTTCAGCTTTACACTTCTGCACTAAGCAAAATCATTATTGCCTAACTTCATTGTCCACCCCATAGCAAAGGTGTAATAAAAAAAATTTCATCTCTTAATTTTTTCATCTTTTAATCAGCAGTGAACTTGTGATGGTCTGTACTGATATCACATAAGTATTCACATCACACATTTTACATCTTTACACACACACACACATGTATCTTCAGTCCATGTGTATGTGACTGAACTCTTCCTCAACAACTGGACCGCTTTTGATGAAATTTTATATGTGCAATTAAGTTGATTAGATAATAGTATAGATTCATAATTAAACATGGTAGGTGGCGCTGTTGTCAAGTTCCAGAAACCACATATGCAAAGCCGGGGCAGATCCCTTGTATTATATAAGTATTCAAGTAACTCAGCAAGCAATAGAAGTAGGTAGGTTTCTCTGGTGGATAAAATTCATAATGACGTAATCCACTGGAGAACCAACATTACTAATAGTTTTCCATGTTTTAAGGCTAACCTGACAAAATGCTAGTCACGTCTATTGAAAACATGACAATCATTGTTGTAGATGTGAGATGGAATTAGACCATAGCTAAGTAAATTCCCCTGACTTGATGAAGCATAGATCCTTGCATAGTAGCTGTCATCAAATGTATGCTTAAATGAGGAATGAGGCCTATGTCCAGAAATGAACTGCCTCAGGCTGCTAATATACATTTCAGTAAAATTAGTAGTTAAATTTATATACTTAGGGTATTATAAAAAAATCTTACTATATAAATACTCAAAACAGTCAGGATTTTTGTTGGTTTTCTTTCATAATATAACAAGTTCTTTACTTCATACAAAACTATAGCGTTAATTGGTTTGAATATAACTTACGTTTACTCCTACAATTAGTTCATAGTAAGTTCCTAGAGGATAAGATTGCAGGTCGAACATTTTAACATCCATAACGAGGCATATTCTACACACTTTAATGTCTTCCATTTTAATTTTAATACTTTTGAGGGAAATTTTTTAAATTCACCTACTGGCGGCATGCGATAGAGTTAGAAAATGTTAGAATTTCTTCTACTCATAATGTTGGTTGTATACACTTGTTACTTCACTTGAAGGTAGTTTTTTGCCCATGTAACAATGATAAACGGATCTGTTTAAATGATACTTATCATTGTTTTTGCCATTTCAATGAATTTCCTCTGAACATAATAAATTAAAAATACAAAGTATGTCTAGTATTACGAAAGACGCTAAATGACCACCATATTTGTTATTAAAATTTGACAAATGACAACAGAAGACTACAGATGACAGTTGACATTTGGCACTTGGACACCAGTGACTTTTTTAGTACTAGACTCAAGCTATTTTACTTTTGCCAGTGTCATCATCATCATCACAAGTCCACTGCTGAACATAGGCCTCCCAAAAGAAAAGCCACAAAGCAACGTCCCGAACCACCTGCATCCATCGACTTTCTTCATATATTACCAGGTTGCCACTTCCGTCTAGTGGGGGGCCAGTGTCTAGTAATAAAGAAGTATCTATAATATTTTGTTTGATAAACTTCTTTACAATATGCTTATGAGTCATAACGCAGTTTTTGATAGATTTTGACTAAAGCCTAATCCAGTGACAGCACACACCGACAGTGGTGTCTCAAGTTTTTAAATCGCTTAAGTGAACAATATAGTTTAAGGTTTACAACATCGGAGCACTTATTTCTAATCGTACTAATAGTTTATATTGTAAACCTTACCCAATACGTCTGTATTGGGTAAGGTTTACAATTCAGGCGCCCGAATTAGGGGGTGGTTGGTGGTGTTGGGGGAGGGGCCTCCCCCCCCAGTTGTAGAGTCACCTCTACTTCCCCTTAATGCTGGACGTGCTTAGTTTTTTTTTTATAAATTTATAAAAATCTCATTTTGAGGTTATGTTTCGTAATTTTTATGACTATTTTAACCTGATTTATGGGGAGAGAGAGTTGGGGGACGGAAGCCCCACGCCACTTAACGTGGTGCAGTAGAGGAAAGCCCGGTCGACGGAGCCTCGCTTCGCGGGGCTCCTACTTCTGAGTTGTTTATAAAAAAATAACCACGAAGAGGATGACGGGGTCTAGTTCGCTCGCTCACTCTACTCTTTCTAACCTAACCTGTCCAAGTCAGGGTGCCCCACGTCCCAGGCTCGCTTCTCTCACAATTGCACTTAATATAACACCAAAATATTAACTTTTATAACTACTTTTATTTATAAACATAATTTATGGCTGCCACTATTTGACCCTCAAGCCCGAGAGGGTAAGGACGCACGCCGACCCAAAAGAAGTCTCTTCTTTCTTTATTTTATATAGTAGCCCCAAAAAAGCCCCCCCGCCCAAAAAAAACCCTTTCTATAAAAGTAAAGAAATCCCATATAAAAAAAAAAAAAAAACAATAATAAAGGATCTTTGCGATATTTAGCAGTATTCCGCCGCCACAAATATTCCACTATTCACCAAAATTTTGAAACTCGGAAGGTCGGAAGCAACAAGCAACGGCATGACGAAAGCTGTCAACAAAATGACCGGCCTAGCGATCAATTTTATACATTTTTAAATCGATTCAAAATTGGATGAATCGATTCACAAAAAATAGAAATGATTTCGCAAAAGTTTATATTTACAATATCCAAAGATACAAAAAACTACAGATAACATTAAATGATTGAATGAAAAGACTGTCATTCTTTACGAGGATACATTCAACTAATTGTAAATAATTTTATAAACCTTAATAAAACAGAAAAAGATTCGATCTCGATTCTCTAGGGTGAAATATCGATCCATTAGATCGATTCAGTACTATATATCTACGTCGTTGGTCAAGTGGTTGTAGTAGTGCGACTGCTGATCCTGAGGTCCTGGGTTCGAATCCCGGGTCGGGCCAACAAAATCAATTATTGAGTTTTTCCGTCAAGAAATTCTCAGTAGCTGCCCGGAGTCAGGAAGTTGGCGGTGTCTCTCCCCCATGCCTCGGAAAGTACGTAAAGCCGTTGGTCCTGTGTCTGATCTCTCTCCAGTCGTGTCGGTTTACCGTCCTATCGGATTATGAGAGTGAGGGAATAGAGAGTGCACCTGTGCTTGCTCATACACTTGGGCACTATAATCTTGTCCTGCGCCGATGGCTGGCCTTCGTTGAGGCAGGCCGCTGTGGCCGAAATTCAGTCTGGAGGACATTATTACATTATATGTCGATACAACATTGACAGATGAAACGTCAAAAACGTGAGAATATATAATTTAATTAGTCATTTACCAATATTTTTAAAAAATAATTAAAAATACTTTGACGCTGCTCCGGCAGCAAAAATCGCGTGGGGGTGCTTCAGATAAACCCCCTTGACCCCCCCCCCCCCCAGTGACAGAATCTTCAAATTCAGGCGACCGAATTGTAAACCCAACCCGACGTATTAAACGACGAAACAAGAGCAACGATCCGCCGGCGGTCAAGTTTCCTTCAGAAATTCCCCAGCATCATTTTCCATAGTGGTCACAGACTTAAACTCTGTCAAAGGGGACGGTCCATTTCAGGCCCAGTCTATGTACAATATACCGTAAAAAAGCAGAAACCTCAGGGATTTTATTAAAAATAAAATAAGAGAATAAATCAAACTAAATGACTTGCTGAAAATAAAAATGCTATCCCAATTTTTGATGATTTTACAAGACGGCGCCCTTCCAGTCATAAAATTACGTTGACAGAGAATACTATAGTCACCGGCAATGCGTGGTGGGTTACAATCATTTCTTATTTTCTGACTTCGTGAGTAAACAATACAACACGTTTATTAATAATAAGATTTTATTGATTATTGTCCTTTAGGTACGCAAAACAAGCTTCGTATGAAAGTTTCTAATTTTTTGCTTGGTCTCAAATGCTTTTGTTGCGTGATGTTACCATTACCATCCAAAGCTACCCCATAGTACACATATCAAACGGCTAGACGATGAATTAATGTACCAAGATTATAACTAAGGTAATAAATATATTTTAATACTGTAGAATACATTGCAAAATACTGTATTAAGTTGAGGGAAAATAATATTATTTTAATTTTATATTGTTTACTTACATAAATGCTTAAATTATTTTCAATTTCCATAAGTGTTTCCTCATGTAAACTGATGGAGGAAGATGATGGAATACAAGCTTTTGTTTCCTAAAAATAGTTACATATCTTTTAAACATTAGTTAATACAAAATAGGTGTAGGAAGATGCTTTTTACAGAAAATTTAATTTAAAGTTCTTGGTATTTTAGACTCTGAACGATATTCAAGTTTTAATATTGATTATTAAAACTTAAATCGCGTTCAAAGTCTAAGAGAAACCTGTCTCAGTCATTTATTGCTAATGAAATGGACAAAATAATGTTTGCAACTAACCCGGTAATTGTACTAAATAGTCCTAAAAAGACTAAACATATATACAAATGTTATATCTTATTAACTGAATATTTACCAGAATAGGTACAGCATTAGGTAATAGCAGAGTAAGTTTCTTCCTTTTTATTAACATTTTATCTTTAAAATATCTACTGCAAACTCTTGATAACGGTTTTAGTGCCCAATCTGTTCGTTCTGCAGTTACAATCCAATTCCGACGTAAATTATCATGTTCAGGAAAACTGAAACAAGTCATTAAATCTTTCAGATATTTAATTAATAGATACTGCAAAATACATAATATTATTTCCTATAACAGTGGGTATAGTTTATACAAAAGTTAGCAACACCAAAGATTTTAGGTTATAATTTACAATTGTTATTTTTGTGCGTTTTTAACAATAAATTTACGTCTAGAGTGCATTATACACAAGATATGAATTTTATAAAATGTTACAAAATGCCTAGTAACCGATAAAGAATGGTTACGAATACTTACGAATGAAAAGACAACCCATTTTCGTTCCACTTAGTGTTGCCACTTTAGCAACTTTGTCGCTAGATCTAACGACTTTTTTGTTAATTTAGGGAGTTTAATTCAATGTTTAGCGGCAAAAAATATTCTGGCGACTTTTAGCGACATCTGCATAATCTGTACATACTTCAATTTTTGGTACCATCTGACTACTTTAGGCGTAAGGAATATACTCTATCCACTAACGAAATTATAAAATGTAAAGGAACCGAAACAAAGGTTCTTTGGATGACGCTTTTACAAACACATATAAAACATCACAACAATATAATTAATGGAAAAATGTTATGTTATTTATTTGTAATAAGTAATCCTGTTACAAATAAATCACATAACATGTACTACATCAAAATCTCTTGCTTTCAAAATTAAAATTAATAGCAACGTAACATACATAACAAATAATTTTAAAATAAAAATGAAACGCCTTATAAATCCTAAAGCAACTAAAGAAATAAAATAGGTATTAAAAATATTAAAAAGTAGCTATACCTAATCATTTTTCACAGTATTTATTTTAAATAGTATTATTTAAAGTATAATATTATTAACTTATTTTATGACAATAGAGAATTATTATTAAAAGTTTTATTTAAAATGAGAATAAGTCCTAATTTGGTCTGATTATACCTACCACGTTGTTTTCACTCTTTATTTTTTTACATTTTATCTGTTTTATGTGCTTTGATCTTGACTTCCTCGATAGTTATATTCATTCTTGTCACTTTAGTCTTGTTGCGCGCAATACGTACGTTCAGTGTTTTTAATTTTCTCCCGTGTACGAGTATCTAATTTTATCTGTTTCCATTTAAAAGTGATTGTTTGTTATTTAATTAAATTTATGTATTATTAATCAAGATTATAAAATGAATGTACCGCTGAAGAAAAAACCTGCAGTCAAAAATTCAGAAAGGAATGGGAAGGCGAATTTAAATGGTTAAAACCGGTGATGACCGACGATGCAAAAACATTTTATTCGTGCCCTACTGAAATGTATGCGAACATTTCACACGTCAAGTTAGAATTTTAGT